ATCCACACCAACCAAGCTACTGCAAATAGAAAAAAGAATTAGAAATTTAGCTAAAAAATCTCTACAATTAAAAGCATATTATGTTAATAGTAAAAAATTTACTAGCTACCCTTCAATTGGTATCTGCCTAGATATAAAAAAAAAGTATATGATTATCAGATTATCTAGCTTGAAAGTTTAATAACAGAATTAGGGCTCTTGTTATTAGACAAATAGGTAAAATTGCCAATACCAACTAGAATATTATCGAATTAGAGAAAAATAAATAATATATATTGAGCTATTTGGATTAAAAGTTCAGGTAAAAAGCAGAATTACTAAAGTATTGAGAATATATTATAAAGTAAGTTCCGGGGTTTAAGTAAACTCTATAAGAGCAAAAATAGATTTAAGTAGCAGAATTCAGCCAAACTAGAGTTAAAATATAGTTAAAAGCAGAAGAAAGTTTGAAACTAGAAGAACAACTATAGACAAAAATTTTGATCTAGCAATATACACTTTCAGATTAGATAAAACTGAGTTATAAGTAATAGATTATAGTTTATATATATCAAACTGAAGTATAGACTAGATGCAATAAAAGTAAGAATATTGCAAGTTTGCTAGATTTATCTTAAGAATAAAAACCAGAAGTAGATTATTAAGGAGATAAAAGTTTACTTTAAAGTTCTAAGTTATTATATAAATATGTATCAAGAAAACTGGTTTATAAAACTAGAAAAATAGTTGCTGATTGATATAAACTTTGAAGTATATATATACAGAGTGTTAAGATAAGTAACCCTAGTTAAGTTGCAGATACAGCAACTAGTATAGAATCTAGTAATAGGCAGACTACTTAAATAGATACTCAAAAGGTACAGATATAGCTAGATATATTTTTTAAATATATATAATAATTATTTTAATTCAATAAAATATATTTGACTAAAAGATCATCTTAATATTAAAAAACTTTATTTAGAAGTCTAATAGACTCTAATTTAATAAAAACTTCTTTAAATGCTAAAAAATTAATTTTTAAATTTGATTAGTTATTTAAAAATAAAATTTTTTATATTTTTGTATAATTTATAGTAGAAATAGTAATTTATTATAGTAGAAATAGCAATTATTAAAATTAAATATGCTATTATAATGTAGTTTTATGTGCTAAACAAGTTTATTTATAATATTAAAGCACTATTTATTAGTAAAATTTTAAGTAATTTAGTATTTTGTATAATTTTATTAATAAAATTATACCAAATATTAAATTATTTAAAATTTATTAATAAATAATGCTTTTGCATAATAAGTGAACTTGTTTAGTATATAAAAAAATATATATATTTCAAATTTTAAACTATTTGCAAACTTTCAAATCAAATTCAAATTAAACTTAAAATTAAGTTTAAGTTCAATTTAAGGTTTAAAAAAAAAAGTTGGTTTGATTTGAGTTTAAAAATTAGTAAAATTTCAAGTTTGAGTCTGGTTTGAGTTTAAAGTTTAATCAAACCTAAACTAGATCAAACTTAAATCTAAAAGCTCTACTTTCTGGCAGTATTATTATTCAGACCAAACCTAAACTTGGAATAGACCCAAACTCGAACCAGATTAGACAAAACAAAAATAATCATATTTATCAGACAGTTATATTACTCAAACCAAATTAAGTTTCTATATCATAAACTATCAAATTAGCTTAATTAAATATAATACTAATAACTTGTTTTTTATATATATATTATTATATATATATGAATTGGTATGCAGTATATCAGGCTCTAAGATATTTTTTTGTTTTTTTTTATAAATTTGGTACTTGTAATAAAAAATCAAATTATTGTATTATAATAAAAAAATTACTGTTATTTGTCTAATTATATTGATATTTGGTTTATTTAAATTCTTGTATTTGTCAAATTATCTTCTTCAAATATAGAATATAAAAAACAGTTAAAATAAAATGCTGTGTATAAGATTGCACTAAATTATAATATATTAATTAAAACTTTTCTGAATCCTGATTTGCTGTATACCAAAAAAATTAATATACTTTACAAATACTAATACTACTATCTATGCAAAATAAAGATAAGCAAAATTTTTTTTTAATATTAAAGTGACCTCATAGTTGGTAGCTTTTATTGATTTTTGTGCTAAGCTAATCATAATTAGCTACTACTTATTTGGTATATGATTTTAGAGAGTACAACTTTTGATTATTTATTTAAGTAGTCTATCTATAGGTTCTACACTAGATACTATACTTATAATTCAACTAGAGGATTATCTATTTAAACTTTCTGTACTGCTATATTCTTATAAGAAATCAATTCTACTATAAAAAACATATCTACCTAGGGCTAATTTACCTTGAGATAAACTTGCTAGAGCTTTTTATATTTACAATTTGGCTAATCTAAACTTTGGTAACTTATATTTGAGTCTGAGAACAAGTATTTGTGAGCTGAAACCACTACTATTACCTATTTTTGTCCTTATAGAGTTCATCCAAACCCTGGTACATACTTTATAGACTAATATTAGTTAATCTTAACAATCCCAAACTACCAATTCAGATAGCCCAGAAGGGCTATAACCTGCTTCTGGTCTCCACAGTTGGGTCTTTTTCTTCTAGTTACTTCTCTGGCAGCCTGGTTAGTGAGTACCTTGTCAAATATTTTGGTTTTGTTTAGTTTTACCAGTTCTTTTGATAACGATTCTTTATATAATACTGTCAAAAATCTGTGCTACTTCTCTATTCAAATTTTGCCAAATGAGCACCTCACTACTATATTAGCTCTGTGGCTTTTTGCGATACTAATACATACTTTATGTAATTTCTTTATTATACAAATGCCCAGAATCTCAAGGTTTTGAGTTTTTCTAACTATGATAATAGTTGCTGAATCTATTTTTCTAAATTTAATTTTCGTCTTCAGTAGAAATTGAACTTGTACTTAACTGCTTGAGAGTGTGACAACTTCACTATTTTACTAAATTGTCATATCCTGATAAGCAAAAATTTTATATATTCTTATATATATATTTTTATATATTTTAATATATGGGCTAGATGCTGAGAAAAGGGATAAAATTAACAATTTTTTTAAAAGAAGTTTTTTGTATAAATTAATTTAGAATAAGGTTAAGATTATTTTTATTTAAGATACAAAAGTAGTTGTGTTAATAAAATTTTGCAGTATAGCTTTTTAAAGTTTGTATTTTCTTATAATTTATTATAAGATTTATAATATAAAAATTAATTTTCTAAAAATCTTTTTTTTGTCAATTTTGTCTCTTTTCTCAGCATCTAGCCCATATTCTTACAAATTATAGCAAAATTAATACACAAAATAAAAAAAAACTTCAAGTTTGATACTATTTTTTTTTTAATTTTTATTATCAAATTTCAATTTATCATATATAATAATAATTAATTTAATGATTAGATATTATCAAAATTTTTTTAAAACTAACAAATCCTCTAAAAAATTTTCTTAAATACTATATATAGCTTGAATAGAAGATTCAAGTACAGCTTTATTATATATAATTTGATCTTTAATATATTCAATATTTTCAACTATTTGCATTATATTTTTTCAAATTATTTTTTTAAAATAATATTATTATTTTCTATATTATCAAATTCAATATTCAATACAGTATTTTCAAGACATATTTTATTAAAATTAGCTATATTAGTTTGAACGATTTAATTAAGCCTATTTTTTTTATTTTGAATAATATGATGTGAATTATTTCTTTCTTTTGCAATATGCTACTGAATGCATATTATTTTTGTTGCATATTCATTTGTAAATTTGTTATACTATAGTGAGTAGATATTTGTAATAAATGACTTTAGCAAAAGTAGGTGGTCTAATATAACTTGTGTAGCAAAAATAGTTAATTTTGGTGCAAACAATTTTTTTATTTAACTCAAACAATTTTGTAAGTAGTTTATTTGTAATTAATAACTCTTAAATTACTTAATAATATATAATAAATTATAAAATATATAAAGGTTAAATTTTAGCTATTGTTTATATAATTATTACATTGCTTATTTCTATAATTAAATCTATCTAGATATAATTTACAAAACTTTTAATAGCTTGTATTTAGAGACAAATTGCATTTATAGAAGTTCTATATATGTTTAGGCCAGAATTATATATGCCATCGAAATAGGTTTTCAAAAAAATACTATTTTGTCTCTATTAGAGCAATTAAAAATTTTTTATATATAAGAGCAAATCTAATTTAGATAGTTATGTTCTTTATAATTTTGTCTCTTTAAAAAAAATATCAAAAAATTTTATCTTTTAAGTAAAATAGGTCAAAAACAATTTCATCTTCAAATTTTAATTTTCTATCCTGAACCCCAAAATAATTTTATTGGCATATATAGCCAGAATTAAAGTTGCAATTAAAAAGATATCACATTTAGAAAAGTTAGATCTAGAGAGGTTTGCCTTTATATATGCTTCAAGAATATATTCAAACTAGCGATACTATAATAATATTTTTTTGTAATTGTGTATCAGGTTTTATTATATTAATATAATAAAACTAACTTTAATATATTGCTATAGTATAGCTATCTATCTTCAAAACTGAAGCACTTTTTCTTTTTATTATTTTATAAGAAAATTCATATAAATTTAAAGTCTAATTTCCAATTAAGTAGATTAAATCTATATCAAAATTTAGGCATTCAAATATTGAACCTAATTTAGGTTTGATTTTGGGTCAAGGTAAAGCAAGAGCTAGATTTTTCTAAAATTTATTATAATAAAGTTAAAAAGGTTTTCATCTTACTTTTTCTTAGTTCTGGCTAATTATATATAGAAGCTTCTTTAAGTAATTCTATAAATTCATATACAATTTGTACTTTAATATTTAAGTTTTATTTCTTTATTGTTATAATAAAAAAAAAATTATTTGAATTATTAAAAAAAAAAATAGAATTATAGTAATAGTAATTCATTAAAAAGTATGATTATATCCTATTTGGCTTTAGAGTCAATTGCTAGATAAATAATATTACCAACTAAACCAACTAATAAAGATATTTCTTTATTATCTTCTTCAGCTTCTATATTAGCCAATACTTTAGTTTTCTTAGCTGATATTACTATCCATATATCTAATAATTGACTAAATTCTTCTAAAAAATTTGATTCTACTGTCTTTTTATCATTAAAGTCTTTAATTGCAATATTATTTTTATTCTCAATTTTTGCAGGCTTAAACTTATATTTTGTTTTATTTTCAGATTCAATTTTATTAGAAGATTTATTACTTTTTCCACTAATAATATCTTATATATTGTTTTGAAAACTACGTAGAGATAATTTATCAGAATTTTATTCTTGTTGATAGCTTTATATATATATATGCCACCAAAATAGGTTTGCAAAAAAACTCTATTTCATCTCTATTAGAGCAAATTAGAATTTTTTATATACAAGAACAAATCTAATTTAGGTAGTTATATTTTTTATAATTTCATCTCTTCAAAAAAAGTGTCAAAAAATTTTGTCTGTTAAGTAAAATAAGTCAAAACCAATTTTGTTTTTAAATTTTAATTTCAGGTTTTAGACTCTAAAATAATTTTATCAACATGTATATTCATGTAATCTTAGCTCTTAATTTAGATATATCAAAAGCCTTTAGTAACTAAAAACAATAATAATAATAAAAAAATCTATATTATTTACTTGACCCTAGTTTTATTTCTCAGTTAACCTTTAATTGTTTAAAAATAATTGTTGAAAAATACAAATGCAAAGCTATTACTGCTAGTTTATTTCTCTGCTTTGTCTGCAAAAAACTCATATAGCTTCAAAAACATTTGATTGCAACTACATTCATACAAATTCTGTATAATCTGCAAGCTACTTTTTCTAATTTATTTGTTGCTTTACTTGCAAAACCCAATAACTTCAAATATTATTATTAAAATTATAGATGTTCTATAGAATAGGTGAACAAATTCTGCAAACTCCACAAACTCTACAACTCTACTATTAAAAAAATTAATGATTACTAATCATCAGCGAAGCTTATTTTTTATATTGCCTACCTATTCTATAGAACATTCACAGAATGCAAGTAGAATTGTCTTCAATTTAAGCTTTGTAGTAATATTTTAAATATATTTTTAATTTTGTATAATTAATCATTAATTTATTTTTAAAATAGTATATGCAGTACTTTGGATATAGCAAATATGATAAAATTAACAGGACTATTCTACCTCTTTTCTAGTCAAGCTAAAACTTTTTTAGCTAATTGTTAGTTAGTGCTATTATTCCAAAGTTGAATCAAGT